AGACATTAAATTATTACTATAAAAATGTGCACACATCTGATTTAGAATAATTTTTTCAAATATTTTACTGAGAGTTGGTAGTATTGATATAGGTCTGAAATTGGTGGGGTCAGAAATACTACCAGATTTGAAAAGTGGAATAACTTTACTTTGCTTCATGAGGTCAGGAAAGACACCATCATCAACACATTTATTAAAGACACAGGCTAAGTAAGGCGCAATACAATCAACTATAGAACTAATTACTCTGACTGAAAGACCATCAAGATCAGCAGTATTTTTTATATTTATAGACTTAAAGGCTTTAACAATATCGTTTGGAAATACATGACGGAACCTTAAATTAGTGATACTAACTGCTATATTTTCTTTGAGTAAGGATTCAGCGGCCGTGGGAGATGAATTTAACGAATTAGTAGTCAAAATTGGAATGTCGGTAAAAAAATTTTCAAATATTTTAACAACTTCTGCATCTGTGTTTACAATTTTGTCATTAAACCTTAGTTGAAAATCTAAGTTACGAGGTTTGACCCTTCCAGTTTCGCTATTTATAATATTCCAAGTCGTTTTTACTACATTCGCGCTGCTTTTTATTTTATTATTAATAAACATTGCTTTGGCTGCCACACAAACACGTTTAAACATTTTCGAATATTTCCTAACAAAATCATTAAAACTGTTACTAGTGTTATAAGTTCTTTCATCGTAAAGATCATATAGCCTTTGTCTACTTTTGTGAATTCCCACAGTCGCCCATTCACTAAATTTCAATGAATTATTAATAGTTATGATTTTGGACTTAAGAACATTATCACGTTCACTTTTCACTATGTTGAAAACTGAATTATACAATTTATTGGGATCGTTAACGTACGGAATGTCAGTTAGTTTAAGCATTACGTTATTTCTATAAGCTTTAAGTCGACCATTATTTATCGGAACACATGTGATATCCTTTTTCGGCATTTTGTCAACAGTTATATTAAAAGTGGCCAATTGACCGCAGTGATCTGAAGTTAATTTATTTATAATAGATTTATTACTAGGTACGGCGTTGGTATAAATGTTGTCTAAACAAGTGGCAGTAGTAGAAGTTATTCTAGTAGGCACCAAAAAAAGATTCACAAGGTTATAACATTGGAAAAATGATATGAGCCTACTGCTAGTAGGGGAATGTTTTTATTGAGATCACACATTACACACCGTTAGTGTGGTCTTTATTCACTGACGGCACAGCAGTGGTTGTATAGACGGGCTAAAATCAAGGAAGTTTCGCTACCTATGGCGGTAGCGATATCTGCTTAGGTTTAACAGTAGGAATACCGCAATGCCCACTCGTTTTCCCTAGCTACAGCGGAAACCAACCTAACTTACCTTAGCTCACGTTACCGGGGCATCTATTCGTACTTCGGTGCACACCGCGAACTACGCTAACTGAGCTAACTAAACTAACCTAACGATCCCGCTAAGCTATGTAAACTAAGTCGCCCTTCTGCCGCCCTTCACCCCCGCACGAATCCATAGTGTAGCACGTCACTACTGACTATGTATTTCCTTAGCTTGCAAAGTTTTGCATGCCACTACGTGAGGTAAGTTAGCATCCCTCGCGGTGTGACCTGCACATAAAATTGGGATTATGCGTAAGAAATAAAAAATCATTTAATTGCAGTAAATTTATTGCTTTCATAATGTCACTTATACTTACAAAATATTTAATCTATCCCAATGAATTCAAGCGAGCTTAGTGAATAAAGATAAAAATATAAAATTTATTTTCACTAGTTCATGGAACTTTTGTGTTACAATTGTTCCACGACCTGAGTACATGGAACTACTGGGAACAAACAATGACCATCGTTATGACCAAGAAACTACTTGTAAAGTCCTTTTTATTTCCATAAAAATCCGTTTTTCATAGTATTATAGAGATCCAAATCGATGTACTATTACAATTTATTCTGCTAATCATTTTTGACGCATAGTGAAATTTTCGAAACTTTGTAGCAAATCCCCTAAAGATTTTTAATATAATATTTGTATATTTTCTCTAAATCTAAACCAAAGGATTAAAACAAACATCTAATTCCGTAGTTCTACGATCATTTGCCCCCACATCGTCGTTTATAATTATGGATTATCTCAAAGCGATATAGAAGTTGATAAATATTCATCAATGAATTCCAACGAATGGAGGGCTATTTCCGCCAGTTGTTCTGCTCCCAATTATTTCTCCCTTAGGTAAACATTGGAATAATCCAATAGACTACAAAGTCTACCCTACTGCAAATGGAGATTTGAATTTTCACGGGAAAACTTAGCAAAGATATAATAGCCACAACTAAGCGTCTTTTACATAGCTTCTATATTATATTTTACTAAATACATTTCAATGCCTAGCTCTTATCTTTTAACCATAGCTTATTTAATCAAAATATCCATATAACATCTTAATTACAATGACTATAAGGGTTGACATATGGGTTGATGATCGTCGACAGTAAACTGCCTGGGTTCGATTCCCGGTAGGGCCAATTTAGGAAACGAACTTATTATACATTCGTTCTGTGCCAAGAGGAACTTACCAGTGACGGTTGTCACAAGCGACCGCGTAAATAAGGTTTATACTGTATGGCAAATTGTTAAGCGCCTCTAGCGGCTAATAGCGGAAGTAATCATTTGCGATCACTGGCGACAACTGCCAATGAACTGCCGATAGTTATAAGCGATTTCATACGTAAGAGATGAACCACGGGAAGAAAGAATTGCCCGTGGTCCATCCAGGTGAACCAACCAGGTGGTCCACGGGCAGTAAGCGTTATAAACTAGCAATATCATCACCTTACTTTCTCGTACTCGTATCTAAAAGCACAAAGTTATTAAAATGCAAAAGCATCACATTTCCTTCATATTTACAGACTGGTATTTACCTATTCTTAAAGTAATGCATCCAAATTAACAACCTTGATAAGAAATTGAAGAGCTCTCATGCCAAAAAAGTTTTGACGTTGGCTCCGCCCAAATTTGTGAAACAAATATATACCTGAAGTTCGCGTGTCATGCGACAGGAGATGTTGAATTTTGCGCATTAAAAGTACCAAATTCGTTTTAGCGGAATAACTCTAAAACTAAAGGGATTAAAAAAAATCCGTAGTGACAGTTGTCGATCATGCATAAATATAATTAATTATCTGATTTTTGTCCTAATAACCTGTGGCATTTGGAGGATAAATCGAAAAAATGTGAAAATTAGAGGTCATTTCGTGATTTTTATCTATCGGGGAAACTTTGTTGTTTTATGTTTCTGATTAATATGCTTGAATATATCGTGTTACTCATACAATATTTTATTTTTAACTTTAAAGTGGATATACCCCTCTAAAATCAAATCGAAGATTAGGAATTTTTCCTCTGCTCCCTCTTAAAAATAAATAGATTTTGCCATCTGAATATTTACTCTATACATATAAGATAAGAATTTGAGAAAGTAAGGCATCGATATATTAAAAAAAAGTTTACAATGTAAACTTTGCGTACGAGACAGCCGAGTTTAATACCAATAGTAAAAGTCGTTTGATTTAACATTTACTTATCCTTGAAATCGATGGCCCCACCAAATAAATATGCATTTATTATTTTTTCCCATAGTTACTGCTATCTGATGACCATGGAAATTTGTTGAAAAACCAAAAATTTGTTCGAAAAACAGACATACGTTATTTAGATCCGGAAAACAATGTTTCATTTCCCATGTGTAACAATAGCGAAAACCTAGAACTCGACACGTGTAATAAAGAGATGAAACGGATAGTGATTTGGCCGAATACCGGATGTCCCATATAAAGTCGGATAGCCGGATATCAGAACTAGCCGGTCGCTAAATATCCGGTATATTGCTGCGAACATGTCGTGATTGGGTAAGAACGGCATCGGCATCAAGCGGTTAGCAGAACAATATACCGTATATCCGTTTTGTTGGTGTACTGTACCATGGTACTAGTGTACTGTCTACATTTTAATTCGGTGGGGCCGTCGATATAGTCACAGCTAATTCTATTGATCTTTAATAATAATAACATTTTTGTGTCAAATAAATGTCACGGTTACCAAACAATAATCAATGGTGACAATAATAGCGTATTATACTTCGTACAAATAGTTTTTAACTGATAGTCTTAAATGCCAAACTTATTAATGAAATACAGACACATTATACGAACCCTCACCATACGCGAAATTTTAAAGAACAAATTTTTTAAACAGACAACACGAAAAACCATGTCAAAAATGTCAACTTGTCACACTTAGACTGATTTTATCAGCAGCATGTATAATTTTGCTTGTGGACGTTGGTTAACCTGAAAAGATGGCACTACTGTTGACGTAAATTCGTGACATCACATTCTTTTTTTTCTTAATGTGCTCGTGTCCCATGGCTAGCTAACTTAGAAATTGTAATATTTTAAAACATGGCTAGGGTTCAAAATTTAACTTAACAATCTTTATAAAAAATAATTAGACTATCATACTAACAATAGGATATTTGACACATAATTTGTGTTTTAGCGTTAACTAATTCAAATTATCATATTCAAGCGGAAGGTGGAGGATGTTGTTTTTTTTTTTTATTGGAACGAACATTAGAAATATTAATGGTTAAAACCAGCGGCAGAGAAGTTCCCTTTCAGCGAAACCATCTTAGTGCATTACTTACACGGCGCCACTAAAATGATAAGTGACAAATAAGTGTTGTCGTTTTTCTTTTATTGAAGTTCCTGATTTCTGAGTGTGGAATTCGATGATTTATTTAGGCACAATTTTAAAGTAATAATATAAAAATAATAACGCGTACACACTCATAGACCCGCAATAGGGAAACCCTGTATCGCGGGTGCCTTGGACACACACAAATTACACCGAGACTCACGAGAGAAATAAATGTAGGCCATACAAATATTTCTCCCGTCCCGGGAATCGAACCAGGATGGTACTCGAGTCCAGTGTGGTAACCGTTCGGACATGGAGGCAATTTTTGTGCGTGTGTGTGTGTATGTGCACGTATGTGTGTGTTTGTATGTGAAAGTGAAGGTAAAAGTGTGAAAAGTATTTTAATTTTCAATAGCTGTCAAACACCCTATTGGTAGATACTCAAAAAGTACTAGTAGCAATTACTACTAGCATGATAGAGCGAAAGTCAGTTAACTGGAACTTCGATCTGGCCTTCAGGATCTACACCCAGTTGGGGCATGTCAGCTCCGAGTTGCGGTTCCAGTGAAGGCACTTCTACACCTGAAACAATACAAAAAAACAATTATAAATATTAACTGGTTACTTTTGCACTGTGAAACAGCATAAGTATTATACAAAATATATTTACATTTAGTGTCCTTGTTTATGTGAACAACTTAATTTTTAATTTTGTTTGTGTTATTTTTTCGTAATTATGTGTGTTACCACAGGTCTTTTATAACGTTCGTTAAGGTGAGGTAGTGTGAAGTTCGGCTACAGGGCGATCCGAAAACAACTAAACAAGTCACGCTCAAACTTAGGTGCGAATACCATAAAGGAATCCATAGCACACCCCGGACCCTCCATACAATGGTCGGAAGATATTTATATACTACTACTACGTACGTATTACGTACGTACGTAGTACGTATTAATACTACTACTACGTACAGCAAGGCGCTATCTGCACACGCGCAAAAGTGATCACTCTCTCGTACAATTACGTTACGTGGTCTGAGCGACGACATAGCGAAAATTCTAACGCGAATCTGTTATCTATAATTAGGCATATTCATGCACTGGTATAGGGTGGTCAACTATTCGCGGTAGCGTGCAATTGCGTTCCCGTTCCCACCAGAAAGCGACGAAAAACCGTTAGGTTTTATTTGGTACGAATCCGACATAACCCTCACTTCCTCGGGCGGAGGGCCTCAATGAGGGTTTTCTGACGTAAAAAAAGTGTGGTAGGCTATGGCCTTAATTTTTAAAAGGTTCACCTTTTAAAAAGTTTAAGGCCACCGTACCTAGCAATGCGACATATACATACATAAATATTCCATATACTTTGATAATTGTGTACAATTCATTACATCAGAGCATTTGCTGTGAGGACTCAATAACATTAATTTTATTCTCTCAGTCAGTCAATCTCAACATTTAATAAATAAGTAAATAATAACAATTGCAAACAAATAATACCTCATGTAAGCATTTTGCATTAAAAAACTTTTCACAATATTCTATTATATGTAAAAGTAGTAATTTATATTGCAATTACCTGGTTGGGATTCTTCTGCAGAAGTTTCTGGCACATTCTGCATGAGACCTAGGTCTTCTGGGTTAAGAGTATGTGGTATATGTTCAGTTGGTGGCCCTTCCATCGAAGTGTCCATGGGTGTTTGCTCTGGAGCCGGAGTTGGAACTTCTGGGGGAGGCAACTAGAAAGATATGAGTTGTAAGATGTTGAAACCAATAGTATGTGAATCATGTTTCAATATTGTTTGTTTTTCTTATATTTATACTGTAAATCAAACTAAATGAACTAAAGTCAAACTCAAATAATCTTTACTTCATAAATAATACTTAATAATAATGGGCTGATCAATGATTGAAAATCACAAAAACAAAATGGATCATAGGAAGTGCAGATCTATCTTTACCTAGCAACGGCAAAGCCAAGCATGATATTATGTAAAGGCAGGAAATTTTGTTTTTGTGGATGAACCTGGATGTCAATGTTTATTATAAGAAATTCCACAACAAATCTTTTCAGCCTCAATTTGAGATCACAATCACTATAAAATAAAATTTGACAATTACCTCAGGTGCGATTCTCGGCACTTTACCGACTTTGTGTCGTACACTGAAAGGAGCGCACCTTTCGTAGTACGCAATGACGAAATCTGGAAATGCTTGGCTCAAATCATGTCCAGGTACCACATCCAGTTCAAGACAGCCTTGCCTGCATAATCATTACATAAGATCAATGACAAGAAGAAAAAAAACAAATAAATTTAAACAAAAGACAGAATAGATATATAGTTGTCAATTTATTAAAACTCCAAACGTACCATTTAACTAAAAAGAAAAGCGTTCCATGGAAGAGTTGCCCTGCTAGAATTTTCTCTGGAGGTAGTCCTCTTAATAACCCCCTGGGCTTCTCAATTTCCTGAAAATAATAGAAAAGTATAACACTATGAGGACAGAACCATAAACATGTTTTGTTTTGCACAAAAGTGCTGTAATAAAGACTATTGTTACTTTTTATACATTACACAAAATGTGAAAATTTAAATATGTTTTTGAAAACATTGATTGCTCTCAGCTACATTAATTGTTGGTTTATTATTCAATAAATTATAAAAGTCTATACAAAAAAAAAACTAAGAAAAAATCTTATGATACCTACCAAAATAGGACAGTAATTGAGTCAGCATAATGTTTTCGAATATTTTACTTAAAGCTGGTAAAATTGAAATGTTATATAGTTGCTAGGATCAACTTTTCTATTGCTTTTGAATAAAGGAATAACCTTGCTGTATTTCATTAAATTGGAAAAAACACCTTCGTAACCGCATCTATCGAAAGCAACAGCTAAATGTGGAGAAATTAGATAAATAACTGACTCGATAAGTTTAGCTGATATGCCCCAGAGATCTTCAATTTATTTAGCATGTATTGATATAAATATACTGAATCTTTAATGGTAATTGAAATGATCAGCATCAGATAGCTGCTTTTCTGTTCAGCTAGGCATTATGGCCACAGTTCAATACATTAGGCCCGAGCAGTGGACTATGTCTTAAATACTCTTTTAGAGGATACCTGTGCCCAGAAGTGGGACCAGTTTGCTTCCTTTAAAGATTCAGCAAGATAACCAGTAATACCAATCCTTTCAATATTTATAAATATACTTTACTGCAACTAGGTAATAATGCTGAAGGCAATTATCTGCACACAGACAATGCTTACTTCAATTTTCTTCTTCTTTTCAGCTCGTCTCCCTCTTTTTCTAGCAGATTGGCCTTCTTCAGCCTCTACAGCAGCTGCAGCTGCGGCTTGGGCAGCAACAGCAGCAGCTTGTGCAGCTGCAGCCTGGGCTGCGGCAGCAGCTTGAGCAGCTGCGGCTTGTGCAGCTGCAGCAGCCACTTCTCGTTCCCTCTTCATGCGAGCTTCTTCATAAGCTGATATTAGTTCTGGACAGTCCAGGTTGTCTTCTGGCTCCCAAGTATTATCTTCACTGGAAATATATAAAGTATATAATGTATAAGTAAACTACTAGTAAGTTTTCCATATTTCTTTGTGTCCATGTTTTACACAACAAAAATGTTGCAATGCAGAGCTTGTGGCTTTATTATGAATTTAAATTACATTCTTCTTATCCTCCTTTCCCATCAAAAGACAATGCCCAAGCTCCATCAGGCCCGTAATGAAAGTTAATGACCCTCAATGGCAGACACAACACTATATACAATAATGATAAAACAAATGTTGACTCAACTTCGGTTTTTTTTTTGTTCATAACTCAATATTAGAGAATTCATGGTAAGTCTGAAAAATAAAATGTCAACAGTGTATATGCTGCATCCAAAAACAAATATTTTTTTAGGTATTTCCAAAAAAAAACAAATTTTTTGTTCATCTTAACAAGATTTTATGATAATGAAAATAATAATATTTGATAATGCATACAGGCCCCCTAGACTCAGCAAACTGCAATGGGGAAAAGCGCTAAACGCCCAATGTACACTAAAGTGTACAAAATAATAACTACATGCATATTTTTTATTTTATTTTTATAATATCAAGTGACAGGACAAACAATCTGTGCGCCTGATGGTAAGCTACATGCTTGTCCATAACAGTTGTAGTGCCACTCAGAGCTTTAATTCACAAAGATCTGAGGGGCACTGCCACTGCACCCATCACCCTGAGACATAAGTTGACAAGTCCCGTGAGCCTGTAATTTCACCAGGACCCTTACCCTTCAAAACCGGAACATAGTAATGCTGACCTTACTGCTTGGCAGCAGAAATACGTAAGGTGGCAATACTATTCTGGACGAACTCTTTCACAAGGAGCTCTACTACTGCTTTAGGTCCAAGCAAGTATGTCCTTAGTTTTGTATGAAAAACATATTTTTCTAAACATCCTGTGGTCACATAGAACAGTACTAAATTTGAATGCGATAGTTTCATGACAATGGGCTGGAGTCACTTCACATATTATGTACATTTTGATGTACGTACAGTCAACAGCGAATCAAGCTATTAACTTTTGTTCGAATATCACCTCCAGTTTGATGGAACAATATCCGACAATGTGTAGCTTAATGTGCTGCCATCTGTACACAAATTTTGCAAATCCAAAAAGGCCACACACTTTAAAAAATTATGAAACAAACAAAGTACTCACTCAGAATATCCTTTCCATTTCAACAAATATTCCACTTTCCCATTCTTAACACGTCTATCCAGCACTTTTTCAACTGAGAACTCTTCATGTCTTTGCCCCCCAGCAGGTCCAAATGTGGGTGCGGAGTCCACAGGTTGACTGACTTGGTCGGGAGGCAAATTTGACAAAGATTGGCTAGATTGAAAATTCAAGTCAACTGGCTGTGAGAGGGATTCCATTGACTCGTCCATTGTTTCTGCAATTCGAATGCGAATATGGACTTCATTTCAGTTTATTGTGCGTAAATGATGCAGTTACAAAGTTTGAAAAGAATATTTTTAGTAAGTTTTGTTCGTCAGGTAATAGTCGACAACGTAACGTAATAACATTGTGTTTTTAATTATTGAAGAGTTAGGTATGGAAACAAACCGTACATTGGCACTGAATACTTGTAATGCTATGTATACTTTTAAAAATGTATACCGCAATAACACTAATGTTTTGTTACATTGGCATTGGGTGATGTCGTCACATCACGCAGTGCCGCTGCCAAAACAGACGCTTTGAATCTAAATTAGAAAAAAATAATGGATCAAATTATGCTCACCGAATCAGATGACAACAAGCTACTTTAAATATTGATATTTGTTGGAAATTACACGATTGTTTCACCAAAAAACTTGTTTTATTCAGAAATAGCGGCAATCAATAAATTGACACAACAACAAGCAAACTTTTTTTATAGAGTTGAGATGTACATGTTTGTTGTCAAAATCATGTTTGATTAAAAAATGTATACTTGTACAGTAAAAATAATTTAAAACCTGGCGCATTTCTTTTTTTACTAGAGGTAGTTTTACTGATTTGTATTCTTTCCATCCTCTAAGTTTGTATTTTTAGAATACAACCATGAAAATATTTATTTTTCTGAAAATCGCAATAATCGATCGATTGTTGATTGTTTGTTACGCAGATATGGGCAATGGGTTAAAACTCAATCAACCCGCCTAGATTTTAATCCATTTCTGCCCAAACTCGTGGGCGGAAATGACAAATACGGAATTTGGTATAATTCTATATTTATTACAAACTTTGAGGTAGGTACAGGGTCAAGAGCACATCAAGCTTGACACTAAAGCTTTAAATTTAACTCTATGCAGCTTGCAATAAGAACGGTCCAAAGTCCAAAGTGTCAAGCTTGATGTGCTCTTGACTATACACCTAAAAAATGTATTTTAGACGAAAAAGAGGCAACTCTATAATACCCACCTTCCAATCTTTTTTTTTATTAAGAATTTTGGCTTGAGTACAGCTACTTTGATTAATTTATCCGAGGCATGTCTTCGATTAATTTATCCGACGAATAATTTTTTTTGCTTATGTGCGTTTTTTGCGGTCTAGACGAAGGGAACGTGGACTATATATTCTTTGACTGCCCTAAATTACGGTGTTCCCTGTACGACATCCTCCCTCCCTCTATCCCTCGTCCTACTTCCTTTAAATGCCTTTTGACTCTATCCTCTCACCCAAAAATGTATCATATTCTTTTTAAATTCATGCATATAAATAATATTAAACTGTAAATATTATTCATGCACTAACACTATATTTAACATAATTATACATGTTTCTAACGACTTGTGTTGTCTAATTTGTGCCGTCTCTTTTGTTCTAGAATTCAATTTGTGCAAAAATCTCTTCGATTCTCCCTCTGAGTCACCGAACAAAATTCTAATACACCCTCCATAACGTTTATGAATCTATAAAACGGACACTGGCAGAATTGAGTATAAGTAGTTTCACAAGCCATTCATAACGAAAAAAAAACCGCAAGCTTTTATTTTGTTCACAAACGTGTATTTTTATTAGCATCTAATAGTTTGTAATTTACTTTTACAGGATATTGTTACAAACTAATTCATGTGTAATAGTTTGGTATATACAAAATAAAGCAAAAACTGTATAATAAGAGTTTACAAAAATTTAATTAAATTGTAATCATTTTTCTATGTTCGGTAGATATTCGTGTTACACTTAAAAATCACATTTTACTGTTACAATTGTGTTTTTTAGATACTAAAAGCAATAATTACTTATTGGTTTGCTGTAATATCTTCGAATTTTAAACATATTCATTACATATTATTTATTTATTTTTGATTTTATTAAACATATTTATTATTTATGAACTAACCTTAACCTCTTATCATTTATCGTCAACTTTTCCAGGTAATGGCAAGTACCACAGGTACTGGCCCGTTTTCGAGCAGCACAGCATTTTGCGCTAGATGTGGATCGATCCTACCCCTGTTGCAAGAGTTTGGTTCAGTGAAATGTTATGCTTGCAAAGCTATTTATGATCCTGATAGTACGTATAAACTTGTTTTCATTTACTTTGTTTAATCAGGATAAAAGATAGCAGACCGTCAAAAATACTAAGTTAATACTCTATGATCTATAGTGATACTGCTGCCCCTGCTAAAGTAGGGTTGTTGTGCAGCACTGATAATGATAAGACGTTTGACTAATCATTATGCCAATCCAAAGCGTTATGCATGTTTAATACTTAAATCAAATTCTATTTGATTTACTTCATGTAATTAGTATACAAATTGGCTCATTGTCATAATCACAGAGTTAATAGTCAGTGGTTTCTATGATAGTGCTATTGCTAAAGTAGGGAACAACCCTACTATAGCACTGCTAATGATATGACAAGTGACTGACATTATGCCTATCTTTAGACAGCTTTTAAGCTATAGGGGAGAGCGGGGCTGAACATTCCAATTTTGATATAACTTTAAGTTTTGTACTGAAAATGAAGGGTTTGATTTTCAACTTTTGGAAATATTGAACAAATGTGTATGGCTTTTTGTAATATTACAGTCACTCCTATTATTATCGCAATAGTTTTTTTTACAGAGGCAAATTTTTGATAAATTTCAGAGCGGCACATTCATCCCCAGTTTGGGGCGTGTTGATCTGCCTTTGAGGCAAATTGTCCCGCATAGATTATGATAGTTATTGCTGTGGGAATTTACCCCAGCAACTTCCAGCCCTGGTTTCCCCTATGCATGTTTTAATGTACTGTGCACTACACCTACATTTTAAGTATAAAAATAAAACTTGTATGCAAAATACAAGTAAGTACATCCTTTGTTTTCCACATACATGATACTCATGTATGAACCAGGTTACTCGTGCCCTAGTCTGGCAATCCTGTATACAAGTTGATACCTCCCACATAGTTGTAAGCTACAAAGTAGCATTTTTTACTTTTTAAGTTATATATACCCTTTTTTAAGTATTATACA